TGGCAGCGGTAGTGAGATTGGCCCAGGATTGGACATTGTTTCGTTCTGCTGTGCGTGGGGTCGTTCTGCTGTGCGTGGGGTCCGACTCGATGGCACCTGACAACAACATAAATCACTCTGAGTAATGCCTTTTAATGGATTTTTATATTTGACAACTGTCTTTGGTTCAGTTCTCTAGAGAAGCAAAACCAGTGAAACTCATATATATATCAGAGAGCTTTGAAAAGTTTGAGGAAAAATGGAATTAAAAGATAATGGCATTTCCCCACAAACGTTTTAAAGCCCCTTCATGTATTTATACTGGGGTCCAGATATGGCACCACATGATAAACACTCCACCTCAAGGTCCTTTTGAGCTGCAAGTTTGGAGATTCAAACTCACCAGCTGCTCCTTGGAAATCCTAGTGGAAACCCTATGTTGTGTTGTTATGTGTCGTGAAGTCGGTTCTAACACATAGCGATCCTGTATAGGGTTTCTGAGGAGTGGCTGGTGAGCTTGAACAACCTACCTTCTGGTTCAAACCTAATTTGCAGGACAGCTGGTTAATCCACATCCCCACACCAGGACTCCCTAGACAGGGTTGCTATTTGTTGGAACCTGACTTGAGGGCACTTTAACAACAATGTATGTATGCAGTGTTTCATTCTGTTGCGCATAGGGTTGCTACAAGTTGAGTTGGAATGGACACAACTATATTTAACAATAACATATACACACAGAGGCATCAAAAGATTTAGCTCAAGGAAATGACTCTTGTTATTGTTGTTGTTAGGTGCTGTTAAGTTTGTTTTGACTCATAGCAGAACAGTGCACAACAGAATGAAACACTACCTGGTTCTGCACCCTTCTTACACTTGTTATGCTTGAATGCATTGCTGCTGCTACTATACCAATTGTGTGTGTGTGTGTTGGGGAGGGGGTCTTCCTCTTTTTCTCTGACCGTCCACTTTACCAACCACGATGTCTTTCTCCAGGGACCAGTCCCTACTGATAGTATTTCTGAAGTATAAGAGACAAAGCCTCCCCATCTTGGCTTCTAAAGAGCTTTCTTGTGTAGGACCAAGAAAAAGACTCCATTCTGTACATTAGCCTGAACACGTCCTCCTGTTCCAGGAACGTGCTAAATCAGCTCATGCTGCCTTAGAATATCCTTTCACCCCTAGCAACAGCAAGAACTAGATAAGCAGTAGACAGGACAACCCAAGGCCAGATGCCAGATGATTTCCTTATCCTAGCCTAAGAACAAAAGACCACCAGTCCTGACCAATTAAACTGTAACATCTCATACTTTGCCAAATGTCAACCAATCCAAATATTGTAAAGCTGAAAACCCCGAGCTTGTTTGAAAACTCTATAAAAAAAACCCTGCAGACAAAGGATTGGAGGGGAGAGGGGGCTCGGATGCAGGTGGAGTCAGAGCATGAATAATATTAACTGAGGGTTCAAGGCTCCATCCCTCTTCCGCTGTGTCGGATGCAGGTGGAGTTATTCAAGCTCAGGCTTGAATAACTGGGAGTTTGAGGCTCCATCCCTCATCTGCAGGTGGGGTCCAAGCTGGAGCTTAAATAAACAACCCTCGTGCACTTGCATCGGTGTCGGCTCCTGGGTAGCCTTTGGGGACCCCGAATTCTGGGCATAACACTAGCTGTACTTCTTCCAACACAGATTTGTTTGTTCTCTGGTAGTAAATGGTATTTAATATTCTTTTCCAACACTATAATTCAAATACATCGATTCTTCTATGGTCTTCCATATTTATTGTCTAACTTTCATATGCATTTGAAACTATTGAAAATATCATGGCTTGGGTCTGGTGCACCTTAGTTCTCAAACTGATATCTTTGCTCTTGAACACTTTAAGGAGGTCTTGTGCATCAGATCTGTACAGAGCAATAAGTCGTTTGATTTCTTGACTGCCGTTTCCATGAGTATTGACAATGGATCCAAGCAAAACGAATTCTTTGACAATTTCAATCTTTTCCCCATTTATCATGATGCTATTTATTGGGCTAGTTGTAAAGATATTTGTTTTCTTTACACTGAGTTCTCATCATGGAAGTAATTATATTAGATCTCATCATGGGAGATAACTACACTATAACGGCCAATCCTCTGAGAATCATGACCCAGTTCACAAACAACCTTAACTATACAACAGCTTTTCCATGACCTCCTTTTTCAAGTCTGGTAACACAACCAGCTTCATTCGAAATCAACTTTGATGTTGGTTTTTCCTAGAATATATTTTATTTAGTTTAAAAACCTGAATGGAAAAAGACTGACTATTTTCTGTTATCTTGATTAGATTTGTCTTTTCATGATTGTATTTGGCAGAGTTGTTTTATTTGTTTGCTTGTTTAGAACTTGGTCACTCATTCTTCAATTATCATTTGGTTGTTTTTCCTCCTGGAATTTGTGAAAATATTCAACTGTTTTCAGTGAGTTTCCTGTTTAATTAGGCAAGCAGCTATTGCCCATTTTGAGGAGCCCTATAAATTGTGCTGCTAACTGAAAACTCAGCAGTTCAAATCCACCAGTCTCTCTGTGAGAGAAACACGAGGTTTTCCATGACAGTAAAGATTTACAGCCTCTGAAACCCTACACAGGGGTTGCTATAAGTTGTAAAGACTTCCTGGTATGTAGCAGCATCCCCATTTTAAAAATTGCTTTCGTAAAAATATGTATAAACAAAACATTTGCTGGTTCAACATATTTTACTTTTACAATTCAGTGAAATTGATTACATTTGTTAAGTTATGCAAACATCATCTCTAACCATTTCCAAAGGATTCCCCCACTGTAACCACAAACGCAAAGACCCCTAAATGAAAACTACCCCTCTGTCCTTTTCTACCACCTCTGGTAACCCCAAAGGCATTTTTTGACTCCGTTTATCTATTTTGTTTAAATGGGATAACAAAGGGGGATTTATAAAATTTGTGGGAAAACGGATTTTAAAGGTAATGGGATTTCTCCATGGATTTTTCTGAAGCTTTGTATACCAAGGAGCTCTGGTAGCTTAATGGTTACGAATCGGGCTGTGAACTGCAAGGTATGCAGTTCGAAACTACCAGCTGCTCTACAGGAGAAAGATGAGGCTTTCTGCTCCTGTAAAGATTTACAGCTTCGGAAACCCTTTTCAGGGTCGCTATGGGTCGGAACCCACTCGACGGCACTTAACAACAACAACATACCAAGTGGTGTTATGTTTAATTGCACAGGTAGTGACTGAAAGATCAATGGGGGAGGGGGGGGGACTTTGGATGGTTGATGATGCATGGAGGGGATTGTAACCATAGCAATGAAATGATATACTATAGGATGAACGTAAAACTAATGTTCTCCCATGTAAACTATCACATAATTCACAATAAAACATTAAAAAATAAAAAAAGCTTATCCTAGGGAATTAGCCAGTCCGCTTGTTTAGTTTTAATTTTATCAAACTACGTTTCGGTTTATGGGGATTTTATTTACTATTCCGCTTTTGAATTTTACCACCCATGCGCGCCAATAGGACAAGCCCAAGTCCATTTGAAGGTTCCAAGGAGTTCGGATGTTAGCCAGTCACTTCCCTATTCCTTTCTCGCGAGATTTTGAAACCGGAATTGGATTATATTATAGGCTTCTGAACCCGACGGCGGCTCGCTTAATGTTGGCGGGAGTTGTGCGATTAAGTTTGGTTTCCTTGTGTAGGGCCCTGCCTGGCTCTGGTATAGGTGTTTCCGGCGGCACGTCGTAGTCGGGCTGACAGCATGCGGGTGGCTGTGGCGGGTTGCTGCCATGGCGAGCTAGACAAGATCTATGAGACGCTGGCCCTGGCGGAGCGGCGCGGCCCGGGGCCGGTGGACCTGCTGCTGTGTTGCGGCGACTTCCAGGCGGTGCGCAACGAGGCCGACTTGCGCTGCATGGCGGTGCCGCCCAAGTATCGCCACATGCAGACCTTCTACAGGTAAGGGGCACTGCAGAGCGAGGTGTGACTAGGGTTGGGTTCCGATTCCCTACTGCCACGGACTGACTGGTTGCCTCTAGTGAGTTCTTGTCTTTGTTCCCGCTGTGTCTGCAAGGCCTGGTGCTCAGTAAATGTCACTTCACTTCTCTCCTTTCTCCTGCCTTTGCAGTTTCACTGGGCATAGCGGCCTGAGAGGAGTAAATTTTGAACTCGAAGGTAGAAACTCACATGTATCCTTAATAGAACTGTACTTGTTCGTTAATGCTCTATGAATTCTTTTGGACTCTTGTTATGTACTAGACCCTGTTTTAGAAGTTGAGGTTGAATCAGTGAACTCGATAAAGTTTTGATCTCATTTAACTTACAATGGCTTGAAATTTAGGGTGGCAACCTACATTTTTTTGAGGACAAGGATAATTGTTAAGTGCTGAGGAGTTAGTTCTGACTCATAGCGACTCTGTAGAGTTTCCAAGGGCAGCTGGTTGGTTTGAACTGCTGACCTTGCGGTTCGCTGTCCAGTTTTGATCCTACAGCTCCACACCTGTAATCCAAAACTTTCTGGAGTCAGAAAGCTGGCTCTTTCTCCTGCAGAGCAGCTTGTGGATTCAAACAGCTGACCTTGTGGTTAGCAGCCCAATGCTAACCCACTATGCCACCAGGGAACGAGGCAATTAGTCTAGAATGGGCTTTTTAGCTTTTTATGATGCATTCAGAGTTTTGCTTTTGACCTTATTTTTCCTTTTCTGTTACATCTAATTGTGGTTACTAACAGCTTTACCCTTATGATGTTCTAGGTATTATTCTGGAGAGAAAAAGGCCCCAGTTCTCACAATCTTTATTGGGGGAAACCATGAAGCCTCAAATCATTTGCAGGAGTTACCATATGGCGGATGGGTGGCACCAAACATTTATTATTTAGGTATGTGTTTCTTGGTAATTTTTCTGTTTGATGAAATGGAAGAGATTTGTATGTTGACTTGTTAGGCAGCATTTTGAGATATATGGTGTTTTTGAAATGACACTAAGTTTAAATAGTAATCATGAAAATATGACCATTCTTCCTCTACTATGTGTGTGTGTTTGTTGTTGTTAAATGCCGTTGGGTCAGTTCCGACTCAGAGTGACCTTGTGTAGGGTTTCCAAGGAGTGGCTGGTGAATTTGAACCGTGGACCTTGTGGTCTAGTGCATTGTCCTGCAGCACCACACACTGCAAAGACCTAACTCTGTTTGCAGTCCCTTTATTTTTTAATTTAAATTTCTGTAAATGAAAAACATACAAAAACAAAACCTTTATTCTTTCCTAGAAGGAAATGGGTAAGCATATACATAAGTAGTAATGAGCATAATGTACCTCTATACCTAGTACCCAGTTTCAGCAAACATTATTGTTATAACACGTCCTACCCTCCAAACTTAAGAGGAAAAAAAAAAGGCGTGAGATGACTGGAGTATTTTCAAGCCAATCCCATCCATCTCTATTATTTCACCTGTAAATTCTCCAGTCCATATTTCTCAATGATAAGGAGTTTTACATACCACAGCTTTAGTACTATTATTGTGCCTAATGTAACAATTATTACTTATTATTTATTGCTTAGTTTATGTTCAGAGCCCTGGTATAGTGCTGTAGGATAAGCTGACTGCAACCTTAGCAATTCAAATCCACTAGCTACTCCTAGGAAACCCTATATGGAGATTCTGATCAGAACCAACTTGAAGAGGTTTATATTCAGATTTACCTGATTATCTCAAACATGTCTGTGTTACAATTGGTTTGGTCAAATAGGGTCCACGTTTCATTTGGTTGCCATGATTGATGTTTCTAAAGACTATAATAGTTCCTCTTTTTTTTTTCCCCCATGTTATTTATTTGTTGAAAAAAAAGGGAAAATTTGACTTGTAGAATATACTACATTTTGAATTTAGCTGATTGGATTCTTGTGATGATGTTTGAGATGTTTCTTTTATCCTTTGCATTATCTTTGAACTGGCATTTAGGTTTAGAGGCTTGGTTAGAGTCTGTATCAGTTTTGCTCCATTGAATTTACTTAGTCCTTCCAATCTCACTTTAATGTGTCTCTACTTCATTACTCGTTGATCATCTGTTGACTGTTGCAATATTGTCAAAAAGTGAAAATTTTCAATTATGATCAATCAGAAATGAAATAAATTTGAGCTTATGTTTGACTTTTGTATTATGTTGACGTTGAGCTCTGTAATGTGTAAATCTATCATAGGACATTTTCTTCTATTTTCCCTATCCTATACCCATATTCAAAGGAGCTCTGGTAGCATAGTGGTTACGAGTCGGGCCGCTAACCTCAGGGTCATCAGTTCGAAACTACCAGCTGTTCCGCGGGAGAAAGATGAGGCTTTCTGCTCCTGTAAAGATTGACAGCCTCAGAAACCCTGTACAGGGTCGCTATG